TCTCCGGAGCTGTTTCTTGCTAACTGTTTTGAAAGTGAGGTCCCGAGTCTTTTGTTCGCGACCTGTTTTCACCGATAGGTTACGGTTTCGTGTGGTCCTCATTTTAGGGGAGGCTTCTTAATGGGCTCATAAGGCTTCGCAAACGGTTCTTACTATTTGGCCCATTAATTCAGCTAACGGGCTAAATTCGGGCCCAACACATATCTATCTGCCAGAGGAAGTATATTTCGGAGTTACTTGATGATACTGGTTTCCTTGGCTGTAAACCATCCTCTATACCTCTTGATCCTACAGTTCGGCTTTCTAAAGAGACAATTCCTCCTAAAGATGGCACTAAAGTAATTCATGAGATGGGAGCTTTACTGCTTGAGCCAAAAGTCTACAGAAGATTAATGGGTAGATTGATGTATTTGGCTATCACTCGCCCTGACATTGCTTACACCCTCACTAAGCTATGTCAGTACTCATCGGCCCCGCGTGAAGCTCATCTTCAAGCCGCTCATAAACTGCTTCGGTATCTTAAAGGCACTGTAGGACAGGGTATTTTCTATGCAGCTGATGGTTCTCTTGCTTTGCGTGGTTTTGCTGATGCGGATTGGGGTTCTCGTCCTGATTCACGCAAGTCCATTACTGGTTATGCCATGTTTCTTGGAGACTCACTTGTCACATGGAGATCTAAGAAGCAACGTACTGTCTCTAGAAGCACAGCGGAAGCAGAGTTTCGTGCTCTTGCTGATGCATCTTGTGAAATTGAATGGATGCTTCGCATCATGGCTGATTTGCAGGTTCCTGTGTCGTTGCCAACACATTTGTATGGAGACAACACAGCTTCTCTTCACATTGCCAACAACTCGGTATATCACGAGAGAACGAAGCATGTTGACCAAGATTGTTACACCATTCGTGAGCGCATAGACAATGGTATGATCAAGACTATGCACGTTCGTACTCGTAATCAGGTCGCAGACGTCCTCACCAAAGCTCTCTATCCTTCTCCTTTCCGGGATCTCATTTCCAAGATGGGTGTGTTGGACATCTATGCACCACCTCCATCTTGAGGGGGGGTATCAGCCGGTTTATATTGGTCTAGTACATATATTTAAGATCAATTGTATTTCGGTTAGAACCGGTTAACAACTTATATTTATAGCTGCTTGTAACAGACTTTTATAGTTAATGAGAAAGATACATTTTTACATTTTCTTCATCTTTCTCGTGATGTTGAATCTCTATTAATGTTCTTGTATGATAAGTTTTAAGTTTTTTTAAATTAGGTATAATTATTTTTTTCTTGGGATTCAATTATATTACCTACCAAATTTGACCGAGTAATAATTTTCAAAAAAAGAAAAGAAAAACTTGGACCGAGTAATTGGTATCCTCACGATGCACAACCCTAGTTGCAGAGAATGCATTACTTCCAAATTGCATGGAAAGTAATATAAACCGGGAAATTAGGAAAACAAAAAGAACATTATAAACCGGCCTGGTCGATCCAACGCCTGGTGTCATCTCGAATTAAAAAAAGACCAAACGAAACGACACCGTTACGAGTACCTAAATCTAATCATAAGTGGGGAGGAGAGAGAAAGAAAGAAGACGAATCGAAAGTCAACTTAAAAAAAAAAGGACGCGTCAATAATATTAGGGATAGGACGGTGCACGTGACCGCATAGAAACTAAACCCGGACGTATTGCCTCGTGACTAAACCGGATTAGATAATCGGCGACTGGTCCGGCTACCCTTCCCTTCTTTTTGTGTGTTGTTTTCCTCTCCTAGAGAGGAGATCGATTTTTCTTTTTTTCTTCTCCCTTTGTTTTTAGGAAAAATCTTAATCGACCTATAGAAAACCCTAATCTCTCTATCTTCAATCTTTTTTTTTCTCTAATTCAGTTTCAAATATGTTTTGATGCAGTCTCCGATCCCTTGGTTTGAGTTTCGGTTTTGATTTTCTTTTGGAATTTAGAAAGTAGCTTTTTGCTTCTTGTTTGTGTTTGGTGGTTTCAAGACATGGATTTGGAAGCTAGCTGTAAGGTATTTTATTGTCTGAAAGATCTGTGCTTGGTTTTATATGTGTTGAACTTGTTAGACCAAATGTTTTGAAAAAAAGTTTTTTTTTTTTAAGGTTTTGGTTATGATTTGGATTCAGTTTCTTCTTATTTATTGTTAGTTGATTATGTATTTGGTTTATAATTAGGCTCAAAGTTTAGTTTTTTTTTTGTGTGTGTGTTTGTTTGCAGGAGAAACTTTCATCTTTTAGGATAAAAGAGCTAAAGGATGTGCTCACACAGCTGGGACTTTCGAAACAGGGGAAGAAACAGGTTTACGATCTTCCTTTTGTTATAGAACTCTGTTTGTTACTACTTCTCACATAGTCACATGGCACTGTTCAATAGTATTGCAGTTGAAGTATCTGTTTTTTTTTTTTTTATTAATGCGTAAATTTTAATTTGCAGGATCTTGTCGAGCGGATAATGGCACTTCTTTCTGATGGACAAGGTTAATTGAACCCACTTCTCTTTGTTTAATCACGACCTTGGTGTATTAATTGTCACTGCTCATCTTCTGATAAGCTTCTGTCTTCGTTTTCTATTTGACAGCTGTCAGGTTGTTGTCTAAAAAGAATGCTGTGGCGAGGGAAGAAGTTGCTAAACTTGTGGATGATACGTATAGGTGAGGGATCGTTTCTTACAATTGATTTCCTACTGACTGCCTTGCTTTTTTCTTTCTTTTTCTATGCGGTTCTTTGTCACCCCAATGGTTTTTTGTTTGTGTGTTTTCATAGGAAAATGCAAGTGTCTGGGGCAAGTGATTTAGCATCAAAAGGACAAGTAAGTTCAGATACCATTAATCTGAAAGTCAAGGGGGAGCCTGAAGATTCTTATCGCCGAGAAGTTAAAGTTCGATGTGTTTGTGGAAGTTCACTGGAGACTGACTCAATGATACAGGTATATCTGTGAAAAACTTGGTGTGGAAGTTCCTGTTTGACCTGGCTGTAGAGCATCTCTTGGTGGACTATGGCTGATAGCCTGATGTATATTATTGTTGATTCTGTTTCAGTGTGAGGATCCAAGATGCCGTGTTTGGGAGCATGTCGGCTGTGTTATTATCCCGGAAAAGTCTATGGATGGAAATCCGCCACTTCCTGAAACATTCTATTGTGAAGTTTGTCGACTTACGCGATCTGACCCGTAAGATTTTCAAGGATTTTATCTTCCCGTTTTGAGTTGTGATTGATTTAAGATCTGTGTTACTCTCCCTACTGCGTGATAACATGTTCCTGTCAGATCTGCAAAAGAAAGTCATATTTTTACATTTAATATGTTTCTTCATCTCCGTGCGTTTGATAGTTGTTCTGCTTCTAGGACTGTTTTCATAGTAGTCAGCATGTTGTGTAGGATCTCATTGTTATCTCTTTGCATTAACAACTTTGGTTATCCGTTTGTATCCTGAGTCACGGTTGTCCTATGTGGTTTTCCTTGTGCAGGTTTTGGGTTACAGTGGCACATCCACTTTATCCAGTGAGGTTGACTCCAGCGACCATCTCATCTGATGGGTATGAAACTTCATATTTGCGTTATTGCTGTCGTTATTAATTTTCAACGTTTTTCGCTCACTAGTTATCCTCTGCATTGTGTGAACTAGTACTTCACATTTCTTTTCTTTTCCTTTCTTTGGGGGATTAAGTTTCATGTCACCCTCCTACTATTCAGTTAACTTTTTTTCAATTGGGAACAAGAATCACAATTTTTTTCCGTCGCTAGATGCACGGTGCCTACTGAAAAAGAAACTGTTACTAGCTTTTGTTTAATCTAATACTCTGAACAATATCTTTCCAGTACAAACACAATGCAGAGTGTTGAAAGAACATTTCAAATCACAAGGGCGGACAAGGACTTGTTGGCCAAACCAGAGTACGATGTGCAGGTTGGAAATTTTGCAACATACTCGTGTATATAACAGTGTATCTACTTATGCGTTTCTAACTGGAATTTACTTTCGTTTAGGCTTGGTGTATGCTTTTGAATGACAAAGTTCTCTTTAGGATACAGTGGCCTCTGTATGCTGAACTGCAGATCAATGGTATGACACTGACATCCTCCGAAATATGGAATGTGTTATCTTGCGTAGTCATAAATTCCCCTGGGCTCTTTGCATTCACATACACAATGTCTTACTTTTCTTGTTATTCTCATTCTACTCAATAAGAATGCTTTAAGGTTTCTCTATATGCGATTCATGATGTACCCTATCATTTCATAGGTACACCTGTACGCGCAATTAACCGACCTGGGGCACAGCAATTGGGGGTAAACGGCCGCGACGATGGACCCACTGTGTGTTTTTCATTTCTTTACAACCGTAACCCTTTTGACTGAAATATATGAGTGGATCTCTCATACATTGAAAGTCTTGCAATCAGTAGTGTAATTTGTTAACATCTCATTACTATTTTGGCAGATCAAACCTTATATTAGGGATGGAATTAACAGAATAACCTTGAGTGGAGGTGACACTCGGAGATTTTGCTTTGGAGTTAGACTTGTGAAGCGCAGGACTCTACAACAGGTACTCGTCACATAATGTTCAAAAAGAAACAAAATGTCTTTCGAATACAGACATAACAAAATTAAATTGGCATTCCAAATCTCTGTGGAATTTACCTGTGTGCTTGTGGCTAGATACTAATTACTTACCATTTCTTCCCATTCCCACTAAATATGTCTGTCAGATTTCAAAATTTAGAGTCCTATTCTTTGTCCTCTATTTCCTTGTATGATACATGGTTTGTAAGATTAGGCTTTGTTGGATTGCAATTGGTAGTCAATGTGTTGTCTATCTGTAGTTCTGCAACTTCTCATTTCCCTTTATTCACTCTAATTGTAACTGTTATTAAGTATCCTTGAATGCTCAAAAATTCAGTTACGGTGATCCAAGGTTCTTCAATATTGACTCACTTTTCCCATGTAGGTTCTAAATTTGATTCCAGAAGAGACTAAAGGGGAAACGTTTGAAAATGCTCTAGCACGTGTACGACATTTCATCGGAGGTGGGGGTGGAGATGATAATGCGGACAGTGATAGTGACATTGAAGTTGTCGCTGATTTCTTCGGTTTCAACCTCCGGTGTCCTGTAAGTTACTAATATCTTATTGCAGTCAAGCAACTGATGCTTACTATCTTCCTAGGGCATCTGATGCTGTGCACGGATACAGTTCCTTGAAGACTGAATATTGATTGTCTTTCTGACTGTGTCATTAGCTGAGCGGGTCTAGGATAAAAGTTGCTGGGAGATTCTCACCCTGTGTGCACATGCGCGGGTTTGACCTTGAGGTGTTTGTGGAATTGAATCAACGTTCCAGAAAGGCAGGTCTCTTATCCTTGTCTAAATATTTGGTTATTCCTCTTGTTTTCTGACCCTTTTCTTGTTCTGTTGCCTTGTTTCTTTATATGCAGTGGCAGTGCCCTCATTGTCTGAAGAACTACTCAGTTGAACATGTAATCGTGGATCCGTATGTTAACCGTATCACAGCTAAGGTATACATGGGAAAACTAAAATTCTTGAATATTTTGTATGTTCGATATTGAATGGTTTTATTTCCTACTCGGCAGATGCTTCATTGTGATGAAGAGGTGACTGATATTGAAATAAAACCTGATGGTTCTTGGCGTGTTAAGTCCAAAAAAGATAGTGAGCGTAGGGCATTGGGGCAACTTGCACAGTGGCACTTACCCGATGGTAGCCTTTGCCCCTCTGCTGATGAGGTTAAGCGGAAGATGGAAATGATGATTCCGGTTAAACAAGAAGGCTTCTCTGATGGTCCAACTCCTCTGAAACTTGGCATAAGGAAGAATCGTAATGGCGTTTGGGAAGTTAGGAAACCTAATACAAATGGACTTTCTTCCAGTAATAGGATTGAAAAGGTTGGGTATCAGGACAAGAGTAGTAGTGCTACTGGAAGTGGTCGGAATGGCGATGATGCAAGTGTAAGCCAGGATGCTATTGGATCTTTTGACTTTGGAACCAATGGCATCGAGCTTGATTCCGTCTCTATGAATGTGGATTCAGGTTATAACATTCCTGATAGAAACCAAACTGGAGAGGATATAAACAATGCAGTTATTGTTCTAAGTGATTCTGATGAAGAGAACGATGTAGTAATCACTCCCGGACCTGTATACAGTGGTTCCCGAACCGATGGTGGTGGGGTAAATTTTCCATTGAACCCTTCCGGTATCATTAACTCATATAATGAGGACTCGCACACCATGGCTGAGGGAAGTTCACGGTTGGGTGTTTTCAATGATGATGATGATTTTGTTACGCCCCTTTGGTCATTTCCTTCTGAAACTCCTGAAGCCCCTGGTTTTCCTCTATTTGCATCTGATGCTGACGTTTCAGAAGGTTTACTTGGTTTGCATCATCATGGTCCCGGTCCACTGAACTGTGCTCCTGAAATAAATGGAGATTACACCATGGCTCCTCCTGAGACATCTGAAGTAGCTGCGAACGATGGCCTAGTTGACAATCCTCTTGCATTTGGTAGAGACGATCCTTCTCTTCAAATATTTTTGCCAACGAAACCAGATGCTTCATCTCAGTCTGGTTTTTTAAACCAAGCTGATATGTCAAATGGTATCCGCAGTGATGACTGGATCTCGCTTAGGCTAGGTGATAGCGCTGGTGGGAGTCATGGAGAGGCCAACTCAAGCCAGCATATGTCGACAAGAGAAGGTTCTTTGGATACTACGTCAGAGACTGGTTCGTTCCTTAACTGAGACAGATTATGTATATATATGCTTTTCCAGCAACCACCAAGGGATCTGTAAATGTGGATCCTTTTTCATGATGTTGCTTTTTAATTTTCTTCATTTTATTAGCCTGCTGGGTCTTTTGTAATCAATGGATGGAGAAAGACCTGCTTTAGTTTCTAAATGCAACTTTTGCTTTGACAATTACTGACTGTTAAGTGCGTATTTGCAGCTTCGTTGCTTTTGGGTATGAATGACAACAAGGCAAAGAGGCAAAGATCAGATAAGCCATTTTCATTTCCTCGCCAGAAGCGTTCTGTAAGACCTCGGATGTTCCTCTCCATTGACTCAGATTCTGAGTGATATTATTTTCTTCCTGTTTTGTTCTCTCTCGGGATGATTCGGTGTTCCTTTTGATTCTTAATGCTATGCACAGAACAATCAACAGACAGCATACCGGAGTTAGCCAAGATTTGCCTTGATTCTCTGTGCAGACAAGAATCGAACCGGTAGTGACTATTCAATTCTTTATATTGCTGATTCTCTTCAGTATCGGTCCAGAATCTTGGCTCTTGTCTGGTACACTGCAGGGGAGCAAAGCAAAGCATTGAGGGTGATTTAGTTTACTTGCGTAGGTAGAAAAAGTGGGCATAGAATTGGTAATTTGTATACTCGAATAGTTTTTTTTTTCTTTTTTTCTGAAAGATTATAAAAATTACTTGGGTGCCAGAAGCTATAGAAGACATTAACGTTGTAAATTATGGGCTCCCTATTTTTTATTTATTAAAATTCAAGCAAAAGTACATCAATTTTTTTTTTCTTAAATTCAAAGAAAAGATCTAAAACAAGTGTCTTTTGCTTGATTTTTGAGATAAGATCTCAACCAATTTATGTGTTATTTTGGTTTTGCTTATGTAATTGCTGATTATTTTATTCTATTGTGGGTTTTGAGAGAATCGGAGAAGATAATACAATAGAAAAGTTTTAACCAAACATTTTTTATGAGATAAAACTAAATATTGTTTTTTTCTTACATCCCGTCCATAGGGCAGGTCAATCCTATACATATAAAACTAGGATAAAAAGGCGCATGATAAATTTATATACAAGTTATTTATAAAAATATTATATAAAAATTATTTTAAAAATATTATATGGAAAAATAAATCTATATTCTTGATTGATTTAATATTTTGGTATTTAAACAAATTCTTTTTAAAACTTTTTTGTTAATTATATAATTTATTTACTGATGAACTGATCTCATTTTTAAAGATCAAATTATCACTTACCGCAAAGAACCTAACGTTTAGGTCAAAAAATCTCGGGTCTATTTGGTTACAATGAAACTATGTCAGCTTGGTTTTATATCATGATTTAGCAATTTAAAAAATAATTATGGTTATGAAAAGTTTACATTCATGTGCCAATCCTATCTATCTTCAATATATTTTTTTTTTTTTCATTTTGGTTATTGCCCGATATATATATTAATTTTGAAGTTTATTCTCATTTCGTTTGTTTGTTTTGGATTAAGATTTAGATAATGCTTAAGATTTAAAATAACTAAAGAGATACATACTTAGATTAAGATCAGCACTTTTTGTAGAATAAGTATTTTATATTTATTATTTATTTTATGTTTTCTGCATATTATGAAATAATAAAATAATATATATATATATATTAAATAACTAAGAAATCAGTTACTATTACGTAATAATTTGGCGTGTGCATATAAATCTAATGATCACTCTTGTTATTCGCAATTAGAGTAAATAAACCAAAACAATCAAACTTATCTATCGTATATGATATAGTTTTTTTTGGTACATAATCTATCGTATATGATATATAATTAAATTTAAATGATATTAACATAGATTCAGCACATTTTTAATATGTATATTTATTAAATGAGTTTTCTACTCATATGATTTTATGATTATTTGCATATTTATGTAACAAAATTTTACACCAACGATTTTTTTTTTAAAGTGAGATGTTTAGTAGTTTCAATAATTTATAATCATTTAAAAAATGACGGATTTTAAAATTAAAATATTAATTTTTCAATATATATTCAATGCAAATATAAAATTAGTAGTATGTATTTTCATACATGTATAGTTTAATTTTAAACGATATGAAATATATATATGTATGTATATATAATAGCATAAAACCTATTAAAATAAAATTGTATCTTCATATGCTCTTATAATAATTGTATCTTTCTTTTTGTCACTTAATAATTGTATCTTAATATATAAAAAAATTTAAACCTTGATCATAAAAGCAAGGGCTGGGCAAAAAATCCCAACCCGAAAAATCTAAACCGAATCCGATCCGGTAAAAAAGAACTCGATCCGATCCAAACCCGACATAAGTACCAAATTGATCTTATTTTACGGTATTTCGGGTTATGGCTTTACCCGAACCAAACCCGAAATTAAATAGATATTCAAAAGAACCCGGAACTTTAAAATTCAAAAAAACTTTATACTATACGCAATATAAATTTCTAATATATTTTCAAAAAACATTATCATATTATTGAGTACCTACAATAATTAAATTTAGTCCACTATATAGTTCTATTTGGTTAATATTAATGTTTATGATTGACATTTACATTTGAAGTTAAGTTACAAATCAATTTGTTTTGAATTTTAAATAATGTTGTTGTTTTTAAAGTTTAAATAGTATTTCCTACGTTTATAGTATTGTTAGTTTTTAATTTTAACTTTTTATGTTTCCCGGTTAGTATCCAAAACCGAAAATATTTCGGGTTCAACAAGATCTTGGACATGTTACTAAATCCGAACTGAACCTGACTAAACCCGAACCGAATCCGATCCAAATTTTTATAATATCCGAATGGGGCTGAAATTCGTAAACCTGAAACCCGAATGAACCCAAACCAAAACCTGATTGGGACCCTGATTGCCCAGCCCTAATAAAAGCTATGAGAGAATTTTAATAGTTTTAGTAATTTATAATCATTTTGAAAAATTCGAAATACAACATACAAGAAAAAATCTATATTTTTGTTAGTGATTAATGTAATTGTGTAATTTATTTTAATAATAAAGAAATAAAATATGATAAAAGTATATAGATTATTATCAAATCTTTATTATTTAAGGAAAGTATGCGGGATAATAAATATTTGATATATGCGACCAACTATAGTCTGCAAAATATGATATTGCTAGAGAGGATAATTTTTAGACTATAGTTTATGTAAGATGCTCTAGAATCTTTCTAAATTGAATTAAAAGACATAAAGAGCTGCCACGTATGATGATGTTATTTTTTTAATTAATACAAAATTAAGGTTACATCTTTTTAAATGTTTCTCAATTAATATATAGGAAATTCTTGCAAAAGAGTTTATAAAACTCTATAAGACCATATGAAAGATGTATAAAGTATATACATACAACCACAAGTATGGTTTATGTGATTTTATAACATTTCATAAAGCAAAACATTTCTTATAAAACCTTATAAACATGTAATGTAATGATTTATCATATCCTACAAATGAGTTTATAAAATCTTAGAAAATTGTGTGAAATTGTTATACAATCTTTAAAACTTATAAAACATTGTCAAACTTGGAAAACTGATTTATAATTTTTTTTTATATGTGATTAAAAATCTTATATACAACCATAAATATTATAAATATTTAAGAGAACAAGTAGATTGACTGAATTGAGATTCAAAGTATAAATAATTTAAAGAGTTTATAATATTTTATTACACATAGATGATCTCAAATTATCTTATAAGAAAAATCGACTATAAACTTTATAAATATTAATTTTTTTTTCTAAATTCATACAAGAGGTTATAAATCTTATGAAACCTTATTGATCTATTACATAAAAGCGGAAACAATATAAGATGTATTACAACAACTATATATGAATCATGATACTGTGAAAGCAATACAAGAAGGTCGCGTGGAGTTGCCTTCTTTAACAATCACATGAAGGAACCAACTACTTTATAAAGCTCTTACTCTTTGTTATTCCTTCAGAATTGGTACGGACCGTAGCTCATAAAAGGAAGAAGCTTGGTCATCAGTATCAAACTGAAAACGAAGTCTACAATAGACGTAAGAACGTTCTCACATGAAATTAGACTTAAACTTGAGAGGGCAACCTTTTTTGTTTGGTCATCATGAAATTAGACTTAAACTTGAGAAGACAACCAACATCGAATTGACAAATAGTAAAGGAGTTGCGACTGTAACTTTTGTTACTTAGATTTAAATCATGTTGGAAACAATGTCGAAGCCACATTATAGGTTTTGGGGACACATGCATCCGTAATTATCTTTAAAAAAAATTGTATGTAAAAAAAATAGAATTTGGTTAGCTCATATGATAAAAAGAAGGATGGGCACCCATATTTTCATAGGTTCGATTCTTATTAGTTGCATTTTTAATTTTTACAATTAATAGTACACCCAATACTTTAATGGTCTGGATTTTCCTCTGATTGGGAAGATATTTAGTTTTTGGGTAAAGATGTAAAATAATCTTTTTTTTCGTTATTAAAAATAAGACTTGAGAGGGAAATTTAACTAGCTACACTAAAATGTTTTTTCGACCATGCATGTGAGTTATGTCTGAACGATTCTTCCTTCCGTACGCCACTATAAGACCAACCAAACATCTTATGACTTATTAGCTTATAACCTTGGTGTCTTGCCGTGTTGCTCATACTATACGGAGGCCCGGCTCAAGTTTATCATGGGCCATCAGCAAATTTTTTTAATATCTTACACAATAAAGTAGAGTTTTATTCTCTTCTTAGGGGGTTTTGTGTCACCCTCAGTAATGAGCTTTCGTTGATAATGAAATTTTGTTGGGCCAATTATATTTAGAAGCTCTTTCTAATTCTGTCTAGCTTAACGTTCAGGGTTTCACCGCTATATTTTGTAACTAATAAACATGCTGACTTCTGGACGATCTCTATGGAAGACACCATTGATGCCGTAGTGATGAAGAAGATGCTCAATCTGAGCGCATGTGAAGGTCTTGCGGTGTTACAATTATTATTCATTGAGTCACCTTCTATTTTTTCATTAACCTAATTACAAACACCCTCTTTTAGAAGTTTCACGACCTGTGTGGGAAGACGTCATTGCTGTAGTGTTGATCAATCTTCACCGCAACATCTCAACCCAACGTTACTGCTTCCATTCGATTTAATGTTGCCATTAACGCCACTCCTACCACTACGTCGGATTCAATACACCTCTTACTTCCTCCATGGTAACGAATCTACATCTATAAATAAGGGTCTTGTCTTGGCTTTGGTGAATCTTATCACTTTCTCCATCTAGATCATTATGAAACGGATTAGAGGCAAAGAAGTCTTGAATCTTTGTGTTTTTTTGAGTTCAAAAGCCATTTACTAACTTGCATTAGTTGTTTCTTGAATTAATTGTCATCTGGATTTGTCTACTCTCTGGTGAGCCAAGACTTGCAAGGACAATCTCTCGATGCAATCACCGCTGCTGCTGGTTTTGCTGTCTTCCAAGGCATAATTTGCAAGGCGAATTATCATTCTTTACTTGTGTATATAATATGAATAATGCATAAGCATCTGATATGTTCTTTACCGAGTCCGAGCTTCTTGGGTGTTTGGTTAAGTTATTGACAAGGAAGAAGAACAAGTTTTTTTGGGTGTATATATGTGGAGTAGCAAAGAGATCTATATATGTTTAATCGACCATCTGATTGCAGCAGATCATCTCAAAACAGAGAGAAGTTAAAGGAGTTCATAAAGATCACTTGAATTGCTCTAATTTAAGCTTTTGCAAGTATTGTAGCCGCTTAATGTAACCCAAGATTGCTTAACAAAG